AATTATACAAGGTGACCGCTAACAATGCATATAAACATGCACTGGCCACATTTCTGTACATATGTTACTTCCATCTGTAAAGCTATAAGAGCATAAATCACTTACAGGACATAATTACACATCTGCACCATTTACTCTAACAGATGTGTTGCATAAAGCCCTGAACCCAGACACAGATGCTTCATCTTTTTGTTTATATTTGTAATAACATTCTCAGTTTATTGGGTAGAACTATCACTAACCTTGCCTAGTGGTCTCCTCATTAAACAAGTAGAAAAAAAGCAAAACTCTAATAGCTATTGTTAAAAGGAAAGAGAAAAACAAGAATGGGAGCATTTGGACAGCACAGAAGCCACAGTGAAAGTCGCATCGTGTAGTGTGCCTCTGGGCTACACAGTTGTCATTGACTGAATCACAAGAGCAGAGTGATTTCTGTCCCCTTGAGGAATGAGGCATGCAGGGGGAAAAAAAACACAAGTACGACACAAAAGATGCACAGTAAAGGGTCAGTCAGACATGTTTTTGACCTCAACACTACATGGATCACTGGCCCAAAGCATGTGAACTGCTCTCTTTAGTACCACTGCTCCTCACTAGTGGCGTTATGAATGTTATGAATAAGTAGAAAGAAATACAATGAGAAATAATATGCTGAAATGTTTTCTAGGAAAACAGTGTGGTACACAGTTTTACCTGTTCAAGGGAAATGCTGCTAAGTATCCGCTCCTTTCCTGCATTAATGTTTTACATAGATCATTTACCAGTGTTTCCAAATTACATTTTAATATCCTAACGGTATCAGAATCGCTCATTTGCCAGTGATTTTACTCTGCAAAACCTGCCTTTACTGTATATGGAGACAGACCATTAATAAAGCAAATTACAAACATGAAACAGTAAATGGGCCGCAACCTGTGCACCTGTTGACTAACACCTGAGGTATAATTCAACTCTGACAAGTGCACCTGTACAATGACACTTATGAGAAAGGGTGCCCCATTATGTCTATTCTGGAGCTGCAACTAATTATTTTCATCAACAATCAATCAATCTTTTTGTTTTTAAAAAAAACCTAAAGGAAATAAAAAAGCCTGGCCTAGAAAATAATGAAAACTGCCCATCATAATTTGCTAGAGGCCAAGTTTACATATTAAAATTGCTTTTGTCCAGCCAACAGCCCAAAATCCACATATGTACAATTTGCTATAATAGATGACTGAGAAAATGAATAGGTATTCACACTGTAGAGGCTGGAGCAAGTGAGTTTAAGGGACCTTTCATTTTTCAAAATCGTTGACCGTTCAACTAATCACTGAGTTCTAGTGAAACACCATCTTTTTTGGCATTTATCTTGAATACAGATAATCACCAAAAGAACCACTGACTTTGACTTGATCTTTATTTAAACCTAATGCCTGATATTAAACTTTAAGGACCTACCATCACCTGAATTTGAGGTTTTTGGAGTTTTCCTGTTGGTTGAAATACATCTAGCACTAAAATAATATGTCAGTATATTGTTGAAGCTCTGTGAAGAAACTTTTTGTGTCTTTCTTCAACCTTACTCACACTCTGACAAACATCGTTTTCAGGTATCCACTCTCCTAAATGACTAGAGTCTGCCTCCTACAGCGTCTCCCTGCTCTGATACATGCTTCCTAATGCTCCACATTTCCTTCACCTCCTCCTTCCTTCCACCTGAGCTAGGCTGGCTTCTGAAAATCCATCATGAAAAGTTTTAAGGACAGCCTCGACATTATACAGATAGAGCTTCACATATTGAAGTCTAATGGGCAATGGCAGTGAGCTGCGAGTGAGCTTGCTGATGTTCAATATTCCCATCTTGTCCTATGCAGGCAGACATTTTGCCTGTGGTAGGCAAAGACTAGTGCAGAGTGAAAGGCTAGTTTTGGGCCAGACATCGCAACTAATTAACTGAAAGTTTTTTAAAGTGACAGCTACTGTTAACGAAGGTGACATCTATGGTTAATTTGTGACTGATGGCATCCAATTAAATTGAATTATGAATTCATTAGAATAATGACTTGATTTCAAAGCTACTTAAAAGACTTGGCTTCCCAAATGCTAACACAAAAGGGGTTAATTATTCTCAAGTGTTACACATCAACGAATGAAATACAAATTAATGAAAACATATAGCACTTGTTCAAACAGCACCAAAGCTCTTTATACTGTATATTAACTGCACTCTGCACATATAAATCAACTTACTATGCCACAAATTCAATATCATTATGGAGTTCTTTTATAAAAAGGACAATTTATCTGTACCACACAGTGTTTAACTTCAGCCCACACCTAACTATCTCAGTAATCTACACTCCCATTTAAACACATCTGTGCAGTTAAAGCTAAAACACAAACTTACTCCCTCTCCCCGTTTACGATGCACTGCATAGTGCCTAATTTACAGCCTATTTACATACCCTCTAAAGATGTACACAAACAGACATAAGCCTGTTGACCAACTTCAGCTCAGCTACAGCATGTGTCCTTTGAAAATGAAAATGAGGACGGCTTTATTCGTCTCTATTTGTGTTTAAGCAAACTGCATGATAATTTCCCAGTTGGCTATGTAGTCTACTTACTCTGGGATGAAGTGAAAAGGCGACTATGAGCAACGGAGCAGTTAATGGCCTTGATGAATCTGTCTCTCTACTCTCAGTATCCCTGATGAAAACCTTATATTTCTACAGCCAGTGTTCACTGGGGGGTTTGAATCTGCACTCAAGATGCAGGCACTTAGCGTGTGGTGGTTAATGAAAGCTCCAATGCTTTGTGCAAACAAAAAAAGGAAAACAGATATAAAACAGAGAGTTACATTAATGGCAGGTTTGTGTCCATAGGGAGCTTAGTGTTGCACGTATGCAGTGTTGACCTTCAGGAAGCATCTTCATGAGGTACTTAATTTTAAAAGGTATAACTGTTGTTTTGGGGATAATTATATTTAGTACGTGCGTTCAAGTATTCCATATTGTGCCAATGCTGAATCCCAACATTACATCTTGGCACCATTTAAGAAAAAAGCTGGTGTAAAAAAGGACAGGAAAGGATTGGTTTCATGCAGCCCATTTGAATTTTGTTTTAGCAGTAAACAATATTTGTGCCAATATTTTTTCTGTAAAATGTACAAGTTGAAGTTGTGAGATAATCAATGTGACAGATTTGTGAGATTACCCAACGTTTAAGGCAACATTATATTTCTTACTCCTGAACCTCTAACATTTGGTTTGGACTGAGACACTCAGAGACACAAGAGAAGGCACAAAAGGCCTGTCCAACACAGTTTGGTTAAATTAGTTAAGCTACTTTATTTACAAGGCCCATGACACAAATTCATTTATTACTTTCAATCTGGAAACAAGTCAGACAGCGACCCTTTGGAGATTTTCAGTTAGAAAGACTTTCGGCCTACACAGCCTGCCTTTTGCCACTGTATCTTCTAACCTAAAGCTGTCACACTAGGAGCCACTATGAGATCTCTTCAGGTGGTCACAAGATAATTCATGGCATATAGGGAAAAATGCATCTTGTGAAGTTTTAAACACTTGTTTGCAGCAGTAAGAAACAGAAATCTTTGGTGTACCACGCTCTATGAAGTATTCAGCCTGTGATGGGGAGACACAAGAGGGTGGTGACGAACCATAAATGAAGAACCCCTGCAGGGAGGCCTCCTACATCTAACAGTTTCAGTTAAATCCTCCCTTAAACTCATAAACTGACATAGCACCAATAAAATGCACGATTTTTATGCATCTTCATTATGCAGATCAGTATCTCTGTTTCAAGTCTATTTACGTTGCCACGTTTGTGGTTAGTTCATTTGCATTTTAAACAGTGAAACAACTTATAGAGAGCACTTCAACTCCTCTAAAACAGTCCTATTGGATCTTTTACAAGAAGGTATAAAGCAAAAACTTAGCAATGATCAAAATCTGTTCACTGAGTGCCGGCTGTTATGATCAAGAATACTTAGTGACTGCAACAAATTTAGTGAACAACACATAGCCATACAAAAACCTGTAGCGTGTATTATTTACAAAATCACTGACTTTGAATACTATTCTTGTCTGTTTTTTCTTTGCAGGTTGGCGCTC